CTTCATTCACCAAAAACACACCTCCGTCCATCCATGTTGTGCCAAGGTCCTGCGGACCCACAACTGGGCCGCCCACCAGTAGCAAGTCCGCTCCCAGAGAAGGAGAGTAGGCAATGCCTCAGGTGCGGAACGTCCACATCGGCAGCTCAGGCAGCTGAACGGGCGCCACCTCCAGGTCACAAGCTCCATGCATACATTGCATACCTCTCGAGGCGCCAAGCTTCGCTTGGTGCCCCAAGGGTTTTCTTCGGGGAAACGGACGCATCGGCCGCAGATGACGTCGACCGAGCTTCGTTCATGCGACTTCCCTGCTGTGCCCGGTTCGAGGGCACATCGTGTGTCCTGACCTTCCCGCAAACGGCGGGGTATGAGACTCAACGGCAGGGCCTGTGGCAGGATCACCGAGGTCGGTCCCTTCCAAGTCTCCCCAGCAACACAGCATCGAAAGACCATGTGTGATGGACTTCAGTTCTTTCTCAGTCCATTTGTCACCTGCATTCCGAGGCATGCCGTATGTAAATGAGCGGATATGGAGTCTCATGGGCTGAGCGTACCCCCAAACACAGACCACCCACACCGCACCAAAGATCTTGCATTCCCTTCAGATTGATTTGCTCCTATCATCTCCTATCAATACCAGAACTTCAAACATCAATGCTTGACTCAGTTCTTGACATGCACACCCGATTTGCCCTCCGAACCCTCGACCCCATCAGCCGAGGTGCCATTCGGCGTTGCTTGACCTGGCGAAGCAAAGGACAGGTACCTCTCCAGAATGCGTACTGACCAGTGGACTCAAAACATTGAACTATGTTTTTCACATACAAACAAAATATGTGTTTGCAAGTGTTTGCTTGGGGAAGAAATGTGTGTTTTCTTTTTTTTAATGGTTTGTTGGGCCCCTGGGAGTTGTGTCTTCATTTGTGTTCGCCCGAGACGTTGGGGAGGCACCTACGAGACATGTGTTGGGGATGCAGGGGGAGGGCCCGAGCATCTGCAAAGGTCACTGACGACATTGCCAACCTGAAATCCTATTGTCAAAGGATTTAAAATCCTTTGGGACAAAGGACATGTAGGATGTAGGAATTCTATATATACTTTGCCTTGATGGAATCTGTTTTTTGTGATTCCTGACAAGGCAAATGATGAAGACAAAGTTGAGGAACCGGAGAACGACGAGGCAGGTTAGCAGGTTGTAGGGCCTTGCTATGGGTCTTGCTGGCTGCGCCAAGGAGACCAAAAACTTTCAGCATCATCGCTGGGAGCCGGCGTTTGAAGCTAGCCCCTTGTCTCAAGCGACTGGAGCGTGCAAGCCGTGCAATCAGTCAGCGGCGGGCAGTATGTCCTAGTGCTTCCAGTCATTGTGAGCCTTCTCCAAAGAATTGTACACTAGGTAAAAATGAGATAGGAGTTGTAAAACGATAGTGAAAAGCAAGCTCCTAAGATTCCTGAGCTGTTGAGCTGTTCACAAGACCGGGCAGTTGACTTAGAATATGAACGATTAACATGTTTCAGATTGTTCCAGCATTCAGAAGGTCGGTCCCGCCGCGCCGGTGGCCTCGCCACTTGTGGAGCTTTCCGATGTCGATCTGAGCGGCGCAAGGCTGGTGGAAGGAGGTGGAGCAGGATCTGCGGGTAGATAATTCATTATAACTCCACAGAACCATGACCATGACCCATAAACTGTCAGAAATCCAAGTTAAGCATCAGAAAAAGGCAAACTTAAACAATAAGTTAAGACTCATATGGCACCAGCCATTGGCAAAGCCCACATGGACATCCACTCCGGCAGCTTCAAACAGAGTCTGGAGCTGTTTGTTGTTCAGCCTGAGGATCACCTTCAATTGCTCGAAAGGCTTGTAGTCCACGACAAGCCGCGAGTACACGGAGCGATTGTCCAGGATTGCGTACACAACCACATGCTGCAATAAACCCGCAGGTGCAGCCTCAAGCCTGCGGCAGTCTAAAGTGGCGACACATATACAAAATAAGGTGTCCCCGGGCAGTATAGCCCTAGCAGGCGATGACATCCCCCTTGTGGAGAGAGGCCAAAAGAACCTCATCCACCCTTGGAGCCTCCTCCCCGACGAGCTAAACCCACCTCCAAGTAGCACTTGCGTGTGATCGTCGATCTGAACCCACTACCCACACCTGTGGTGTTTCGTCTGCTACCATGACAGCAGCTTGACACTCCAAGGAAGAGCGCAGCCAAGGTTGCCGGGCAGTTTCTGCACATGCCGTTGCTCGGAAACTTGCACTCCAGGGCCGCGGGGCCGCCTCTCGTTGGTCGAAGAGCAACTTGTATACGTATCAGTGCGCATTAGTGGCAACTGTCCGGCTGCAATGCCAGCTTCCCCGATTCCACTACTGCAGCGAGTTATGCGAGAGTCGTTCTACTGAGCACAGTTCCTGTAAAAAGAGACTCGCAGGGTGCGATCGCAAATCAATTGCACTAGAGCAGGCTTAAGCCACGACGACGACAACAACAAGTGACACACAGCAACAACAACAACAACAACCACAACCACAACCACAACAACAACCCCGACAACCCCAACCACCACACCCTCAACCACCACAGCAACAACAAAGTTCATCATAATCATCATGACAAAGGTGGCAATGCTCATGCGGTGGCATGTTTTTGGAGCAGTCTTCGGCAGTACCGTGGAGGTCCAGGCAACCAAAGGAGGGCAGGTCCCAAATTGGACCAAACGTGATTAAGCATATATTGATTACTGACAAGATCTGACAAGTATGCATCATCAATTTCCCGCAGTTATCGGGTCAAGTAGCACATCTCCAAGTTCATTCAAGATCCACTCACGTGGCGCCCGCATGACCACACATGGGCGCCCGCGCTGCGCTCTCCATCCCTCTGTCTTCCGCACACTCGTTCTCAACACGAACGCGAAAGCGTTGTGCGCATCGCATCCGCTCTCCGGGCGGCCGTGAGGCCTGCATCTCGCAATGGCCAGTGAGGGGATCCACGCGCCAAATTCGGTTCGTGATCCACTCATTGACCCACCTGAGGCGAGGCCAACGAAGGGGTCTCGACATCGGACAGTGACGGGTTTGGATGAAGGAGGTGTTTTCACGAAAACCGGTCTTTGGGGCGGAGTGCCCCGATCAAATGAGGAGAAGGATGAACCCGCACCAACTTCAAGTTAACGCATCACATAGTCTCCCGGTGTTTTTACGTATACTTTTAAAGGCTTTTTCTTTTTCTTATCACAGATTCCGGATTTCACATGCTTTATGGCATGCATTAGCTTAAGGGATGCTTCGTGTTTCAGGGTTTCTTTCGTCCTGAGGCGGTGGAACTGCCACTGGTGGAGAGGCCTCTTCACATCCCAATTCCTGACCTGGATGATGAAGACCACGGCAAAAGTGCAGTCCAATGAGAACCCCCCTCTCCGCTATTCTCGAACACTCTCCATCTCGTTTCACCCACCCCATTTGACTCGTCGGGCGACAGCTTTGGCGTGATGTACCTGCGCAGCGGCGTGAGAAATGGCGTGACAACCGGGTGCGGTGACCCAGGCGACAGCTTTGGCGCATGACTCAGGGACATGAGGGTCTGGAGGGTCGTGATGAACAGTCAAGTCTTATGAGGGTCTTGAGATGAGGTCTTGGGATCGCAAATTGAGGGTCGTGACTTTTCAAGATGTTTCATCTCATTTTAGAATTTAGATTACTTTAATATCCCAAGGGGGGCCCGCCCTAGAAGGGACTCCCCATCTAGTATTGACACGTCCATGGATCACATCTAGTGAGCCACCACGGGTATCTTGGAGACGGTCAGGGTGTCCTGGCCCAGAGAAGCCTCGCATGGAATTTGTGGGTGAGCAGCCTTGAGCACAGGAGAATCCACAGACTCTTCAATTGAATCGATCTTCAGGAACCCTGTGACACCTTCATGTATTCTTGTCTTAGTTCTCAGCTTTAGAGCCCAACTACAGTCCTCCTCTACCATCTGCTCCCCGGCCCTCTACTCAGCACACAGCTTCAGCATCCAAAGGTGGCTCCCACGATCTCCCATGGCAGGGCGCACTCGATCTCGTTCAGCATCCGCAGTGGACGACCCTCGTGTGTGACCTCAGCCGTGTCCGATCCGCCTTGAAACGAGCTCCCCGCCGCAACCTTATCAGCGCCGTTGCAATTTCATTTCTAAGGTTTCTGCAATCCAAAATGACCCAAGTGGATCGGTTCAGAAACCTTACAACATGTGTTTGATATTTGTTGGGAAGGCTCTGGCCAACATGAATTCATCAACAAACAGCCTCTTGGTGGAGACATATGACTGTATGTATGATTATGATTGATTATGTTACAGCCTCGGCCAACACCTCCTCTTTGAACATTGGGACAGTAAAATAACCAGATTAACACCAGTGACAAAAAGTTGATCAGTGTTGTTATTGGATCTCGAACCACGAGAACCACGCCATTTCTGCGTAGTGAGGTGCCACACCGATTCGCAGAAGCAGCTGCATGGTGCTCCCCAGCTCGTGGCTGCAGTATGTTGTGGTTCTTCTTACACTCAGTTAAGGGGGATGGCCCAGGCCGTTGAGACAGGTGCACAAACTGGGGCGAGAAGGGATGGTTTAAAGTTTGGGTATTTCTGGCCATGTAGGGTCCAAACACAAACTCCCTGCTATTCCAGGTCTAGCATCCTCCAGGTCACCAAACTTGTTAGGGCTCAACAACAATCGAACGCGGAGTGTTGGATGCTGGGTGAGACTTAGAATATCTTAGAACTATAGCGTACCCACCGATGTCCCCTGCAGCCTCACTCCTTTTCCTCGAAACAGCGCCAGCGCGGTTCTCCATCGAAGCGATATACGTCGCGCAGCGCTGTCCCCGTGCGGAGCAAACCTCACCAGGTGTCTCCACCTCGGAGGTGCCTCAACCCGAGTGAAGGGTTGAACATTCTCCATGATGTTAAACAAAAAAACAAACACCATTGGTACTCACATGTTTATTAATCATTTTATATTCCCAGGATGTACCGCGATCCTTCTCTCTGGGTGTCCTGTCTGCATGGACCTTCCATTCCCACCGCGTCACCGGTGGCCCCGTCACCGGCGTCGCCGGGAGATGTAGGGCGTGGCGGAGGGTCTCAGGTGTGCTGGGCGTGCGTTTTCGGCAGGCCTGGGAGAAGGAGAGGGACCAAGAGGTGCGAATGTGAAAGGACATACTGTAGTGGATCTGGGTTCTCTTAAAGGCTTTATGTGTTCTTTTTTGTTGGATTGGGACTGGGGACTTGGGTCTTGGGACTTGTGATTTCTTTCAGGCGATTTTGATCACCTGGTCCAAGTGTCCATACAGCTGGTCTGAACCCATTTTCCTCGCTTGGACCTTGATGCTTCGCACCTCGCTCCATCACTGAGTTTGCAGCTTCACGAGCGCTTGTTGGGACGTCGCCGGTACCTGGGGACTTCACGGAAGCACACAACGCCCGGGCTTCGGTTTCTTGGAGATGCTTAGAGTGTACGATGGAAATCGATGGAAATAACTGGGGGGATTAACCTGATGGAAATAACTGGAACGCCGTTGCAGAATTGCTCCAAATCGACATCGTTGGCCCTCAAGGATAGGCGATGCCCCGCAGAACCTGCGGAGTACCTAGTAGCATGCTGTAGCTAGCCTGCCATACCTGGGGACCTGCCATCCCTTCTGGACAGGGGTTCGTCTTGTTCAGACACCGACACACAAACACGCTCATGGTTCATCCGGCTCATGTTCATCTCCGCCCCACTGCTTCGAAACACGGACACATTCTTTCGACCGACCGTGTGGGGGTTCCCCCAGCGAGCGCCCATGGTCCACAAACCAATCAAGTTCCGTTGACTTTAAGGCATACCTTTGCGGGTCCACCTGTTCATTCTGGGCAGGTCCAAAACCCCAAACTCCGTGCAACGAGCGACAAAGATCGAACGACACAGCTCGCTTTTTGGTTGCTTCTATGTTCCACCCAATCCTCAACGCGATCGATCGGCCGGATGAGTTATGTTTCTATCATGTAATTTTGGATCACAATCCTCTGGCTCATGAAGACCTTGGAAGTCACGACGTCAAATACATTCACCACCCTCAGCATGTTGACAGACCCAATCTGCCCTGTGAACCATGTTTGATCAAACGCTCCATCCCCATGATCCTTCCTCTAAATACACCGGCACCGAGGGCGAAATCCAAAACCGCCGAACCGCGCGGCTGGACGCCGCTCCGCGTCCGCCGCCCGTGCCTCCGACTGGCACGTCTTCGACTCGCTGAGCACGGTCACAGAGGCCACCGCGCTGGCGGGCCTCGCAAGCGAAGGCGGTTGGATCCAACCTTATAACTAACAGCTTCTTGCCACCAGTAGCGATGCCAGGAGCCCCTAGTAGCGTCCTTGCTGCTAGTAGTAAGGCCAGGAGCCCCTAGCAGCTTCTTGCTACCAGTAGCGATGCCAGGAGCCCCTAGTAGCGTTCTTGCTGCTAGTAGTAAGGCCAGGAGCCCCTAGCAGCTTCTTGCTAC